ATAGTTACTGTTATGAGGTTTTACTTTGTACAAAGTAGCATTAGTATCATTGCTTTCCATTATTCATGCAACTTGCACTGGGGACTTCCACTGAGAGAGAGATTGAAAGAGAGACAGAGAGAGAGAGAAGCTATGCAAAGGATATTTTTGTAGTATTAGCGTTTAGACTTAGAGACATTTACCAATGTAATTGATCTCAACCTATCTGCATACATGCTGTATTTTTTCCCCTTGTTTTTTCTAGAATGTTTTAAAAGTGTCCCTATTAAGAATCAATACATCCCTACTCTGAAACTCACACATAAATACACACTAAAAGCCAACCAGAAAGTAACAATAAAAATATACCCGGTAAACAACTAACTTTTAATTCAAAGGGTGCTACGTAATAAAGGGCCTAGAATGAACATCCCAATTAGCCAGTGTAGTGACAAGCAGTCAACACCTTATTATTTAATCATTAAAGAAAATCTTGCCATAATTTCCCTTTGACATATATTTTAAAAGGAATTAAGACTATGTCACATGACCCACAACACAATCAAATGTAAAGTTAGGTGATGCTAAGACTTTATCACTTCCAAGTCCTGTGGACTGAGAGGTTTCAGGATTAAGGCATTAAGTGGGAAGCTACGAAGCATTTACAATTTAAATAAGATGTATCCAAATGGAAGCATTTAAAAACAAACTACCTGACAAAGGGACCATTTTTCTGCCTCCCACTGTTTGTGTACACTTTTCTTATTGGATGACAAGGAATTGCAGACATTTCTAGTATTAGTAAATATTCGCTGGCCCTATCTATTTGCCTCTAAAGCAGCAGATCCAATCCATGCAGGACATTAGGTTGCTTCTTGCCCTCCCAGCCCCATCCCTGACTGTGACACCTCCCCTAAAGGGAAAGCTTAAATCTCCCTTGCAAAAATCTCCCCTGCTTCTTCGGAGGGGGGCGTTTTCTGTCAAGCTCCACCTCAGTTCAAAGGATTTTAAGCCAAACTCTGCTTCAGAAACAACATTGTGAACTTTTGAAATAAAACAATCGCCATCAGAGTTCCCAAGCCCACTTGGGAACCAAAGCGCACTGGACCCGGCTGCCCCAGATCCCAGAGGCCTGGCGGCCCTGCGCTCTCCAGTCTGGGCTGCACAGCCCTGGCGGCCGTCCCCCGGGAGCTCGGCAGCACTTGGCATTTAACCTGCCTGGCGAGCGTGGTTCTCTGGTTCCATATCTGCAAGCCATATTACTTCTCCCCAGACGTCAGAGACATATCTGGATTAACATGCAACAGGGCGCCCTGGGCAGCCCGACAGCCTTCGCCCAGGAGCTGCTAAATGCAGATTCAGACGAGGACCCCCCGGAGAGCTGCTGTTGAATAAAAACTGTAATCCAAAGGGACCATTTCTCTGCCTCCCGCTGCTTGTGGGAAGAGCCAGGGCCACCGCTGAGGCCGAAGCACAGACCTAGCTAATCTCGGCTCGCTACCGGCAGGCGTGGCCACCCCGGGAGGCGGCCCTGGGGGCCCAGAGACTCTGCTCCGCTCTCCCCTCTCTCCCAACGCGTTCTTGGAGTGGAAAATGCTTAGATTCAAGAAGTGGCGCGCAACAGAAGCGGCCTAGGAAGTCGACTGCTCCTTCCTGGAGCGCGGCCTAAAGTCTAGCAACTGGGTGGCCAGGCCTCTCCCCGCCTAACCCCTCTTGGCGCCCCCAAATCCACCCAAGGGCCCCTAGAACACGCGCCCCGCCTCCGGTCGAACCCGCATCGTTCTCTGAAATCAAGCAGGTTCAACCCTCGCCTCGACGCCTAGCACCATGGCCCCCCTCTCCCTCTGCTCCGGGGTCGCAGCCGGGACCTCGCCCCACGCTGAGGCCGGGAAGCCCCTGGCGCCCCTCGCTTCCCCCAGCCTCGGGGAGCCCGGAACATCCAAGCCGAGCCTAGACCGCGGCGGTCAGGAGAGGGCGCCCAGGAGGCTCGAGCCCGCCAAGGTAGCTCTCTGGCAGGGACCTCCAGGCAGCCCCAAGATTGGGGGTGGGGGAAGGAACCTGAGTGTGGGGAAGAACGGGATTACAGCTTCTACTGGTGTCTTAATCCTATTTTAAAAATAAATAAATAGGAAAGAGAGAAGAAAGAAAAGAAAGAAAAAAGAGCGAGAGAGCGAGAGAGCAAGAAAGAAAGAGGAAGGGAGGAAGGGAGGAAGGGAGGAAGGGAGGAAGGGAGGAAGGGAGGAAGGAAGGAAGGAAGGAAAAGGACTAAACTAGCGCTACAAGGCCAAGTGGATTTCCGCCGACTTAGCCCTCCGAGATACCGCCTAGTATCAAAGTCGTTGATCCCAGGTCCCCGCGCTGGTGGCAGTCTTCGCGCCCTCCGAGGAAAAAAAGTAAAATAAAATAAATCGTGCCGCCAGCGGGCCCTAGAGACAGAGGGGTTAATGAGCTAACAAGGCCCAGCGTTCTCACAGCACGAGAAGCGTCCAGTCCCGGAGCGCACCCTCTGCGGAGGCTCAAACTGGCTGGGCTGCATTCGCAGACAGGTGGAGAGGCCATCCTTCCTGCCTGGCCCCCAGGACGCCGCACTAGGGGTTCAGCGGCCCGGAGGGACAGGCCAGCAGGCTCCAGTCCGGAGAACTGGCGCCCACCAGGCGCCCTGGTGCTTCACTCGTCGCGCCTCAGCTCCCCAGGGCAGTGGAGCCCACCGGCGTCCGTGGCACTGTACCACATGCGCCCAGCACTTTGCGCTGCCCTCTCCAAACCTGACCTTGAGTTTGCTGTCCTCCGACCAGCTGAAACCTGGGTGAGCCCCAGGGGGCCACACAAGCAAGCCCACGCGCAAAGGCCAACAGCGCCACGAGCTCAGCCAAAGCGTCGAAGCCCACTCTTAACCAGCGGGGACCAGAAATCAGATTCTCATTTTAGAGGTAGAAGAGAATAAAATGCTAATTTTTATCCAATACAATTGCATACCAATCTTTGCATATCTTAAGTTAAGGGAATTGGGTAACAAAAGTTTAGGGAAGGAGAAGGGGGGAGATCCATGATAATATATTAATTTTTGTATTCTCTCTCCCCCCTCCAAAAAATCCCCATAACTTTGTTCTTTTATCTTTGACTTTAATAAAATAATGATTCCTTGAGAAAATGGGGTATAAATCTTCATTTTGGAGGCAATTAAAGTGTTGATTTCATTCATGCCCCTAAGCGATTCTTGTAATTTGCTCAAATAGCTTTATGTACCCAGCACTCCGGAGCTTTTAGAATCCCATTTTCTAGTTAGGCTTGTTGGATTGCAATTTTTATTCCACAGCAGCTACTCGAGGGTTCCTCAGCAGAATCTGCACTCAACAGCTCCCGGGCGAAGGCTGGCGGGTTGAACCAGACTTGAGGCCCGGGCAGCCCGCGGGGACCAAGGCTGGGAGCCGCCTGCAGTTTTCCCACCTCTGTGGGGCCGCACCGGGATTGCGCACGCTGCGTGTTCTGTGCACTCGTCTACACTGCCGAAAGTTTCCAACTCTCCAGATCACAGTGCGGACCCGGCACATTGGCACTTTTAAATCTCTGCTCTGCCTGTTTCCCGCTCCCCATGGGCAAAAGAGGAATTCAGCCTGTGTCGCGGGGGTTGCCCAGAGAAAATCAAGCTGAGAATGTATTTTAAGAGGATGATGTTGAGAGAAGAAAACCATAAGATGACACTAAGAACCAGGTGTCAGGCACTCCGACAAGGACTGTACAAGACAGCCACTGGCCAACAGAGATCATGGCAGAGCTTGCAGAGTAGCTGGCCTTTGGCTTAACAAAGGCAGGCTGATCTCTTCCCCCAAGTCTGGACTCACGTGCCGAGTCAGAAAGAGAAACAACTCTGGTCCTTCACTTATACAGGGAGGAAGGTTGGGAGGGTGCAGAGCAGGCCAGCTACCCAAATCTCCAGACGCCTTGCAACAATTCGCAACAGAACTGTTCTGAGCCCTGTTTCATCTCACTCACTCCACACGTTTTCACTTTCATTGCATTTTTGCAACTCCTTTGGACCAATCCAGAGATACAGCCACAGGAGAGAGAAAGGCACCCTGGGAGCAAACAGTGGTGTTGGGGTGACACAGAGAGAGAAATCCCCTCAGCAACTCCAAATAAAAGTCGTCCCTACTTAGTAACGCATCGGAAGAAGGGCCTGGAGGGAGGACAGGAGAGGAGGGAGCGCAGCAAGCCAACCCTCAGTTGAGAGCAAAGGCGGTGCGAGTTCCCCCACCCTCCTTACCCAGGGAGCCCGGGGTTCCCCTGATGCTGACATGTCCACAAGCTGCCAACCCAGAGGGCCCAGAGCACATACCAGCTGGAGGATGAGTGGAAAGAAGGAGGGGAAAAGTCCATATTTATCTGTTTTTATAACCTCGGCCTGGTCTTATTTTTTCTATTAAGTACAATAAAATGGGCGAGCTTGCAGTGAACACCACACAAAGCAATGTTCAGTGAGGTCTAGAAGCGTTCGGCCGAGGAAAACTGACAAGACAGGCTAATGAACCGTACAGACAGGGAGAAAATAGCCAGCATTTGCTAGATTTCAAACCCTCGCTGTCTCTCTTAGACCACCTATCTTGGATTTATTCCTAATAAAATAAGAAATAAGCAGACCCTACACTTTTCTTTTCTTGAAGATAGAAGGGGGGAAAATGCTCCAGAACAAAGCCCCTACAATCAGAGGCGGTCACTGGCAGTTAACACTCCCATTATTATAGAGGGTAAATAAAATAAAGACAAAAATTAAAAGCGACAAGAAACAGGTCAAGTTTGCTAGCAAAGCTTTTACAAGCTCATCTCTCCAGGTCGAATCCCAGAGCCAGCCTTAATGAAGCAATAATAGCCACATTATTCAAAAATTTTCATTTCGATGGAAATGTATCTAAAAGGGACTTAATCATATGCAAATAATAAAAGGAGGTGGTAGTGACCCAGCAAGCAATATGCATACAGATTTTTTTTTTTTCCCAGGGATGTTGAAATTGAAAAGCGCGTACCTGGTCGGTTAGATTTGCTGATCTTGTTATATCTTCACTGTCTGATTTTGATCCTCCTTCTCTATCGTCTATCACCAAATCGATAGGCATTTTCCCTTTCAAACAGCTAATATACCGGTGGCAGAAATTGTCACATAATTCGTGTACCTACATTATGACAGAAATTAAAAAATGGGAATATAATCAGGAGTGCATAAATGACATTGACAAGTGCAATCCACCCCCCTTGTGAGATCCAAACTTCCAAATAGGGGAAACACAGGGCAATTGTCCTCCAGAGACCCCCAGATGCATCCAGAATTAGGAATAACTTTCTTTTCTTGCAAAATAGAGATATCCCAGAAAATTGACAGTGACAAGATGATTCACAGGCTACAACATATTCAACACCCGTGTTAAATTCATCTGCTCCTGGGGCTGTGGTCATTAGAGAGGTGACCTGCGTAGGTGACATTTAAGGTAAACTAATTTCATCCAGTGACTTTATCATAAATTCCTTTCCAATGTGTCTAAGGAAAAAATGTATATCTGTGTATATATGCACATATATATTCTCCAAAGAACCTGTACTGTGGTGGCATAGAATACATGCCTGACAACCCAAGTCCTTATTATATTTGTAATAAAGGTTTTTATCTCTAAGGGTCATATTTTAGAACACTTTCTTTTAAAAAAAAAAAAAATGGAAGGAAATCAAGTTGCCAGTACTCCTGATATAAGAAAACATACAGCCACAAAAACATATCAAATTGATTTTTCTTTTTTTTTACAAAAAGGAGAAGGAATGCCTCAAAATATTTAGGTGTAAGTGCGGAGGTTTCCTACAGGCCCCAGGCATCAGTGACATGCAAAAATTCACAAGAAACCCCAGTGTGCTTGCAATTTAATGTTAGTTTGAATTACAATGCATTAAGTTTTTATTGCTGAGATTTATAGAACAGCTAGCAAAATCATGTTATCCCACACCCTTTCCTGAGTGTGAAAGTGGGGTGTGTGCAGGATTCACAGATTCAAGAAATTGACACAACTATCAACTCTGCTTTGTCTCTGCAAAACGTTTAATGTGCCTCCCCACCACCTCCTCCAGACTCCTTCCCGCTCCTCCTCCTTCTCCCCTTCTGCCTCTCCCCTGTGTCTGATCTGCCGCTGCCCTCAGGACTGTCTTCCAGAAACTCACAACAACTGAACAAAACTTTTTTCTCCCTCAGAGGTAGCAAAGAAGAGGAGGAAGAGGATGAGAAGAGACAACAGAGGTATTAACCTGTGAAACCACCTCAGAGCAGCATTCTAAACATCAGCTGGGATGCACAGAATTGCAACTATTTACACAAAGCCAGCAAGTTATTAAGAATGGACACAAGGCTAGGGCGTTTGTGATCCCGGTTTTAGTGGCTGAAATTGTAATTAAACTGCGAAGAGAAATGGACGCTAAGATTGGCCTTGACACTAATTACCAGAAAGAAAGACATTTATGCAAATGTATCAGAAGGCTGAACTTCAGCCATTCTGAACCCTCCCCTCTGTGTGTTTCGGGGTAAGGGGTAAGTAAAAGGAAAAGAGGCTAGAGAAATTACCTTCTCTAATTCCAACAGATGAAACCTTAATACTTGTATGGCTTGAATCATCTGCAAAGATACAAAAACAATAAGAACCCCATTCCTGCTTGCAGAAAACTGGCTGTCACAGCTCTACCATCTCCAGCCCACCCCCTCCCACCAGTAAATAGAGTTATTTTGATTTATGGCAATAACACTAAAACTTAATAGCAGCAACTGGGTACCATCTAGAGGTTTATATTTCTTAAGGAGAAAAAAATAGCTAAAACAACAACAGAGCATCTAAGTGGGGCTCATAAACACTCTCCTCCCCCATGGCTCTCCCCTTTCTCAGTGCCACTGGTCCCACCCCACCCCAAAAGGGCCACAACACTGGACTAAATGTGTCCTTGGAAGGACTGGACAGAAAAATATTTCAAATGGCCCTCAAACTGTGGCTTTTCCCATTGCAAAGTTTCTGCTGCCTTCCTTACACCTTTCAGGCAAACTGGTTGTTTAGGGGCTCTGGTCCGGTGGCTGCCCTCGTGATGGGACTTAGAGGGCTGGGAAGTCCGCAAAGTTTAAGCACACACGCTGACAGGCCAGGAGATAAATCCCCGCGCTGATTAGAGCTGCGCAGCCCGGCTGTCATAAAAAACAAAAGCTCGCGTTTCCCAGCGCCGGCTCGCCCGGCCCCTCTCGAGATGAATTTATTTCCCCGGGATCTTGTCCTGGACCAGTTGTCCGTGGACAGAAACATTTGCAGCCAACCTGCAGGCACGGGAAGACCGGTCTAGAAATCTCAGGGCTCTCAAAGCAAAGCTGAGGGCGCTGGAGGTGGGAGGTGGGGGATGGGGGCGGGGGGGATAGGGGTCCGCTCTTACCAAGTTATCCAGTTCTGGATTAGAAGAAAATAGAGGTTTTTCTGCGCGAATCTAAATACAAGTGAGAAGGAGAGGGGAGAGGGAGGGGAGAGAAAAAAGAAAGAAAAATTTGAAATCTGGTCGCCTTCCTAATTTCTTGCCTCATTACCCTGTTGGGGGCAGGATGTAACCCTCCGGGAGGGACCCGGTGACACCGAGTTCGTCCGGCGCAGAAACATTTCAGTGTGAATTAAGCTGAAAACAAGCCCAGAGCTCAGTCTTACTTCTACTAGCAACTACGATTCTCAGGGAGGCTGCTCAGCCCGCCAAGTCCACAGCAGCTACAACCGTGGTGTTCTAGATTTTATTCTGCAGTGAGCTCTCCACGTTTGCTTTCTAGAGGGTGAGTGGGGATGCAGATGGGTGATTTTAAGTTATCTGCAAACAGACACTCAGACAGAAAGAAAATCTGAGGTTGGAGGTAACACTCATGGCTTAGGGCCGACTATGTGCTGGCTACTTTTGAAAGTGTGCCGTGTGTGTGTGTGTGTGCGCGCGCGCGCGCGCGTTTGTGTGTTGGGGAAGGGGGGGCTCTCCTTTTGTTTCTTTTACTTTTTAACATTTATTTTGCTGACCTGTTTGGCGAACACGGCTATATCTTCATTGAAAGACTCTGACGAGCAGACGTCCCCGCCCGCCACCCCTGGCTCGCGGGGGGTACAAGTAGCTAATTCACATTTCTCAAAAATCAGTGCTAAGAGAGGGAAGAGGGGGTGTCTGCAAGAAAATACAACAGTCACAAACAACATAATGGTTAGTCCCCAGTCAATGGAAAAAGGTGCCCAAGAAAAACAGCCGGAGGAGCAAGAGGAACAGACCCCCTCTCGGACTGTGTCATCTACTTTTTTCCTTTTCCTCCCCCCCCCCGCTCCCCGACCCAGGTGACCGCTCACCTCCCCTTCCTCCTGGAGCCCTGAAGTCGGAGGCCCTGAGCCATGGACGGTATCTGAGGATCGGTTTAGCGTATCTGGCCGGAGAAATTGGCAACATTTGCTACGAATAAAACCCAAGCGTTTCCAGCAGCCATTTTGAATTAAGTTTCCCACCCGACAAGCCCTCGTTCCCTCCACTGCACATCCAGGATCTGGTGGAGGAGAAAGGCGCCGGGCGGAGAGGTGGGGAGGGCTGGTTCCTGCGGGTTCCTCCTAGGCGGCCGCGCGAAGCCCAGGCTCGGGGGATCTCGGTGCAGGCGCTCAGCTAACTTGGGGAAAGGACGTCCATGGCCGTGGGGCCGACTGTCAACGGGCTGGACCTAGGGATCCCAACCCCAAGACCCTCGGAGAGCCGGGAGGCTCCTCCTCAGCTCCTCGCACACTCCCCTCCCTTCGCAGACGGCCCCCACCGCCCCCCAAAGAAAGTTCCTTCAAATGTTCCTGCGGTACAGCTTTTCATTTTGTCTCTGCGAAGTGGCAAAGCAGCTAGTAATGCGAGGGGCCTAGATGTCGCTTGTCTCAGCCCATAAAAAAGAAAGAAAAAGAAGAAGAAGAAGAAGAAAGGAAGAAAGAAAAGCTTCTTCTAATGCTCAAGGAGGTATCTCAAGTCTTTTATTAGCTCTCACTGCTCAGCTGGGAATTTAACAGTTTGGGGTCCTTTACAAAGCTTCCCCAAATGTTTGGTCCCAGAGCCTAAACCACTTGTAGTTAACGCTGCGGACAGAACGGTGGGATTTAAACAAGCCCATCGCAAAAGGGATCAGAAAATAAAGCAAAAAGAGTATATATATATTCTTTTGCCACGGAGGGTCAGTGGGTTCTGATTTTTTAAAAATAAATAAATAGAAATAAAAGTTTCTGCAAAGTAAAACGAGGTTCCCAAATTCATCGGCACACAGTAGGCACAAGTGAGTTTCAAAGGATTCTACTAGTCCAGGGTCTAATCGAATGGCGGAGGAGAAAGCATTGTAAACCGCGGCCAGAAAACAACCTCAGAGGAAGAGCGCCCCGAATTTACTTATTTCTAAATCCTGCAGGTTTCACATTTGAGCACAAAGTGCTAAAACATCTAGAAGTTTCTTAATGTGTGTAACAATTCAGAGCAAGCTCCTCTCCTTGACTTCAGTGGTCAAACTCCCTAAATGCAAAACATGTTCCCCCTTGCTTGACCTGCAACTGTCCTGCCTTGGTTTTATTGTGCAGTGGCAGAGCCAGCATAAGGCTGCTGAGTAAACTTAGCAAGTCAGAACAATCAGTGGCTTAAAAGAGATTTTCCCTTAAACTAAAAGTTTCGTTCCAACACAAAGGCGCCTACATTTAGAAACCCCTAACGCTCTCGGGCGAAATCGAGCGAGGAAGGACTCCAGCCCTCTGAGGGAGTGTGAGAGGGGACAAGGGCCCTTTAGCCAGCTTCTTCTGATCTGGGACCCCCTTGCGGGCACTGCCATGGTAGAGCAGGGCACTGAATGTGCACAGAGCGTGTATGGAGATGTAGGGCTTCGGGGATGGCAGGTCACCTCCCCAAATTCTCCATGCAATGTGAATGAAAAGTCACCAAAGATGTAGCTCCAATCCAGAGAACTCTGACTTTCCTCTCACCAAGGGCACAGGGAAAGAGGGAAGCATTGAGTCTCAACTAGTTAACCTGCTGCCCATTGTACCTACCCATAAATGGCATCTTTATCTCTCTTTAAAGCGTCATTGACAGAGGAGCCCATGCTGGGGGCCATGGCGTTGGTGTGAGCTGTGTGCGGGTACTGATGCGAGTGCAGAGGAGGCCCGTGGTTCAGGTGGTGGACCGGCTGCATGGACCTGGCTGCATGCGGGTCCCCATACATCGTGGAGGGGATGCCTACTCCATCCATGCCCCCGTAATGGGGTAGATCGTCGTACTGCATGACAAACAGGAGAAAAAGAAGGTTCAGGAGGCCAGGCGGGCAAATGGGAGAACGGCAAGGCATCACCGAGCTTATATAAGGTTAGTCCAGCTGGATCCTTCCACCCGGAATTCGGTGGCCTTTCATCTCTAAAGCTGAGTTTTCTTATTTTAAAATTAAGGCTTTAAGTAAAAATTATAGAATTCTCAGCGAGACTCATCTGGGATGAATGATCTTGCCCTAACTTGTGTCCCTATCAACTAGTTCAGAAATTCAGGCACCTTTGGCAAGAAGGAAAGAAGAAAGAAGGAGAGAAAGAGCATTCTCCGGAGGGTGGAAGGTGAAACGGGCATGTCTCTGGAGGAAGAAATTCAAAATCACAATAATAAAACGTGCCAGGACACTGCAGCAAACCCGCCTAGTTTCACAGCCCCTTCACATCAGGGGGAATTAAAAAAAAAAAAAAAAAAAAGTTATGATGGGAACAGCTACGCTACGCCAAGCACGTGAATTTAGACAGGCTTCTCATTTTATTTCCCTGCCGGCGTGAGGTTAGCCAGTCCTGCAAGACACTGTATTTCTTTTGCTTTCCAAGACAAACTCTGCTAATTATACAAAACTAACTGACCCCTTATAAGTGAAACTCAAAGAAGGGTAGCTTTTCGTGAACATTAGAGCTGAATTTAGAATTGGGCAATTCCCCACCCCCAAAGTTAAAGAAAAATCTATAGTTGAAGCAGCTAATATTCTATTTTCTTGTTTACTCTTATGAACTTTCTTTCCAGACTAGAAGTCAAGGAGGCAAATGTTACTCACCAGGTTTAAAGCAAATTCAAAAGCAAATGCACAGAGAACCTCCCATCTTCCTCTTCCAGAAAAGAAAACAAAAAAACAAAAAACAAAAAACTACTTTCATATTGCTTGTCATTATTTTTTGTGTGTGAAATTTAGCTATTTAGACTTTTCTAATTGGTTCATTCCAGGCAAGTTATTTTCCCAAGATTTGGAGGCGCTGAGAGTGAAATGATTTTCAAAGAAAGGAGGAATTGCCACTTTCATCTCCTTAAAGCCAGAGGTGTGAAAAGAGTTTGGAAGAACGCTGACATTTGCCTGAACCAAGGGAGTAAAGAAAAATGTGTCAGCCTAGTAACTTTCTTTTGCAAACAGGGCTTTGAGGGCCAGGACACAAATTATGCAAGGAAGGCTTTTTGTAGACCCCCTTTCTTTTAAGAAACTACCTCAGTTGGGTTGTCATTGTCTCACTTTACTCTCACTGCATTTCCATTGAAAAAGAAATATGGGGAAATTAGTATTGCATTTTTAAAGTGAGTAACTGTGTGCTTAGTATTCAATTAGTACAGGGCTTATCTAAGAGAAACTTGCAAAATATTGCCTTGTATACAAATCTATACAAATTGAAATTACTATAAAAAGATGAATGTTTTCTGACCAAAAAATTGGCTATACTATGACAGTTATTTCCTTTAAAAAGCTAAATACTTCTAGTGATATTAAAGATGAGCATAATCAATAACATATCAGAAGTTTCCAGCTGCATATTTTAGTTTAAACATAACTTTAAACTTCTGATCTCTGAATGTTCAAATTACAGCATTAGGTATCTAGTTTAAAAAAAAAGATGATTGTTTGAGCTTGCATTTTTATTTATATAGCTGCTGGTTAGGAATCTATAGATAAATTGATTCCTTTAATTAACAACTCCAAGTAACATACATAAGTCTATAAATGCATTGAATAAATCCTCTCGCTTTAGGCCACTGCTTTAGGAGCCTCATTTTTTAAAAGAGAGAGAGAAAAAAAGGAAACTTTTTAGCAGTGTCTTTCGGCCACGTTTCAATTTAATCTCACATTTGAGTTCCACAATTGTTTTTTAATACGTACCCTTTGCGCCATCGGCCTCTCTGGCTCCCTTCCTACTTCAACTTCTAATATATCCTCTTTAAGGCCAGTGTGAAAAGAAACAAAAAAAAAAAAAAAAAAAAAAAAGCACGACGAAAAATCCCTTAACGTCTCCAGCAACGTGAGCTACTGGTCCCAGATCTTCGGTCTACGGGACCTGAAGCAAAGCGCCCGAGTCACTGAGCATAAAAGCGCTCCGTTTCCAAGATAGCAGCGGGGGCAAAAAAAAAAAAGAAAAAAAAAAAGAAAAAAAAAAAAAAAAAAAAAGCCTTCTCCCCCCCAAAAAACAGTTTAAAAAAAAAAAAAAAGAAAGAAAGAAAAAGAAAAAAAAAGAGCGCCCCTCAGACCCAACTACCAAATCTCATGGCTTTCTGCCACTCCAGCTGTCAATCACAGGCGAGGTTGTCAACGTGGTGAATGAATGATCATCCGCTCTGTCTTCTTCTGGTCAGAACACCTCAAATGTTAATATTCAAATGCACAAAGCCCTAGCGCTCGCTTCCCTTGAATCAGTCCTAATTCCTAATCAGTTTCTCTCTTCTCTCTCTTTCTTTCTCTCTCTCTCTCTCTCTCTCCCCCTCTCTTTGCAAGTGCTGCACTGGAGGGAGATTAGAGGAGGAGGGTTAAAAAAAATGTCTGTCTGAGTTTGTCTTAAAGGAGCCACGATCGATGCTGCCCGCTTGCAGTCCCCGTGCGTGTGTAAAGTGTGTGTTGCACAGGCGGAGAGGTGGATTCCGACCAGAATGCTAGAACCCGGAAGTAGTGGTGGCCATAACAGGTCGCGTCTTACACAATGCATTGGGCTGCAGCAAGTAGGCTCCTCGGCAGGGGTGGGTGCGCGAAGCGAGCTCTGGCCGCACTGGAGAGGCAGAGAGGCGCTCCATTAAATCGCACGCCCAGGCACAAACACCACACACCCAGGGCACACGCACACAAACGCAGGCAGTAGCCCGCGGCCACCGGCTTTATTTTCAGTATTCTTTTCTTTCCCTCCCCCTGCAGACTCTCTCCCCAAAGCCGACTCTCTTGAAATAAATTGGGAATCAACGCCGGGCAGGCAGCAGCGGGAGTTATTTTGCACGGGGCTCCGCGCATGGACTTCACGACTTTCCTCGAAATTACTGGGGTCGGCCAGTGTTTTTCGGGGCAGGGGGTGATGCGCAAAGTACTGAATTCTCAGAACTAAACACTGCAAGGAGAAAAGTCAAACCGGGAGCTTGGAGCAGGAGGAGGGAGAAGCCGGGCTGGGAAAACCTCTGTTAAGGAGTCCTGAGAACGTGGGGTGGAGGTGGCTCGGGCTTTCTGCAGACCCAGCTTAGAGGTTTCTTTGCTGTTAGAGGTGGACGCCCGCCTGGGGAAAAGAAAATGCTAGCATTTTGTCACTTTGGGTCTGGACTCCTCCACCTCCTAGCCCCGGCGGCTCCCAGCCTCAGCCTAGGCGTCCAGCGCGAAGTAGAGAGGAAGGGAGGGAACAATGAGCTGAGCGCGGGGAATGTGCCCCCGGCGCCTGTTTACAAACACCAAGCTATTTATGATCGTCGGAAAGCGAAACCCAGCTCGGGCTCGCAGCAGCCCAGACCTCGCGGGTGGAGCAGGGGCCGGGGAGCTGCTGGGAGGGAGGCTCTTTCTCCGACCCGCTTGAGGTGAGGCGGCCGTGCGCCCAGGGCGCGGCGCGACGCTGTCGGAGTGCTAGGCTCCGGCTGCAGCCACCGCTGCCTTTGTCTTAGAGGCGCGGAGGGGGCTCCAGCCTCGACCTCTCCCGGGCCTGTAAGAACCTCGCGTCCCCCTATCTCTTTCTCCAGCGACGCCCTGCCCTCACCACCCCAGACATCCTTCCCCGCGCTCCTTTCCAGTCCCCAACCCGGCTTGGCGAAACCTCCCAGTGCCAGAGAAAAATAAATCCGCTTCGGAAGCTGAGATTTCAGACAAAAGCTGCCCGTACCTACAACTCGGAGGCTCCAACCAGCCACTGTTTTTTTGTTTTGTTTTTAACTTTAACACCTATGGCCTGAGCTTTAATTCCCCCCCCCCTTTATTCTCCCGCTCTAAGCTTCTCCCTTGTGATTATATTTAGTGGCGTTATTTTCGTATTTATATTTCTGTCCGCTGGGCTCTGATCTGCCGAAATGGCTCAGCCGCAGCAGCTCGACCAGCGGCTGGAAACCTCACATCCACAAGCAGGGCTCGCAGCTCGCTCGGCTCGGAGAGGATTCTTCCCCCTCCCTCCAGCTGAAACCTCGCAGAAAACTCCCCCTGCGGTCGACTGGAAAATGAGCTCACCCAAATCTCGGTAGGCAGCCGTGGAGGAGTGCTCGGCCAATCAGGAGGCGCCCCCGCCCAGGCAGCCGCGCATTGGCTGCGGGGAAAATCAATTATCAAATAATCGATCAGCAGGGAGCTTCGATCTGCGGGGAATGCAAACTGCCAGTCCCTATTCCCGCCCTGAAGGTGGCCAAAAGGCTGACTCCCTCCAAGCAGCCCGCCCGCGCCCGCATCGCCCCCACCCACTCACGTCCCACTCGCCAGCTGCGGACTGAACCCTCACCCCCGCGGGGTTGTAGGTAGGGGGAAGAGTTTTGAGAAAGATTGGGGGTATCCCTTCATCCGGAGATTGTTTAGGAAAGGTTAGGACCTCCAAAATGTATTGAAGCCAACTCTTAAGCGCAAAGTAAAAGAGAATTTGCGCCTGTCTGCGAGGTAGGACTGAAGTTTCTATAGAGTGGGCTTCCAAGGAGCAGGGGACACAGGGCGAGCATCAGAACACAGGTCTGGAATGAAGTTCCACCGAGCGTCCGTAGTCTCCCTAGGCGACATCTATCGCTTCCTTTAGTCTTTGCAGGAGTCAACGCGGGGTTGGTTGCC